TAACGCTTAACGATCTTCGCTAACCGTATAAGGAAGAAAACAATTATTGGCCGCTGTACAGTCGTTTCGCCGATCTTTCATAACTCTACTAATCTCTCAGTCGAATATATCACCATCGAATCATCTGGATAGAGCGGCGAAACGAGCGGGGGCGCTTCCGGGGACAAAGAATATTCGGTATATTCGGAATATTAAACGTCGCCGTGGCAAATTTATCGGGGACGCGTTATCGAATCCATCTATCCAGGTAATTCGCAGGTGATCGCCACTTCGACAAAGACTAACCATCGATCTTCCTGACATTGTTGTGCTTGCAGCTTGCACATCGGGACATTCATCGTGTTTTGTTTTGTTGTAGCCTCACCCACACCCCATCCCGATATCCATTCAGGTTCCTACATACGCGTCCTCGTCTTCTCCACTCTCCTCGGGCTCTCCACGTTTCCGCGCGACAACTCCATTCCCCGACGACCCGAGCAAACGTCTCCTCGAGCTTCCGCGACCTTCTTCTTCTTCTTCTTCTTCTTCTTCTTCTTCCTCTTCATCGTCTCGCCTCGCTCCTCCAACGTTTCCCACTTTCCCGCTTCGTTTCCTATATCTTTCGAATCCTCCCCCTGCTCTTCCCTCTCCTCCTCCTCGCCCTCCTCCTCCTCCTTCCCCAGTTCGTCGTTGCCTCGTTTCGAGACTGCAACGAGCATCTGGCCACGCCGTCGATTCTCAGAGGTAAGTTCGTAACGCCGCGTCCTCGGTTGTTCACTGGTATTTAGAGAAATTATGCAAGACTATCGGTACTTGGATTCTAAAGGATGTCACGTTTACGATGTTTATACACGTTCCGGATTTACTCGCCATTGTTCACGCCTCCTTTCATTTCGCTGAGAAATCTTGAATATCTGTATTTCGCATTCGTATCCGTTTCTTCGCGTTTTTCTTTTTTCCTTTTTTTCGTTTTTGTTTTTTTCTTTTTTTTTTTTTCCCCCCATCGTCCAGCTCACACGTTTTTTAAAAAACGCGTCGACGTCGCGTTTATAATTAACCGAGATACACTTTTCAAAATTGAATATAAAATTGAGTATCATCGTGGATATATTTTTTTAATAAATATTATATAATATTATATAATATTATATAATATTCGAAAGCTAATACGAACACGTATGATAGATATATTGTCTAGGGAAATCGATTTTATTTTTGCTAAAAACTGCCTCTCGAAACGCGCAAAAGAGAATCAAACCGAGTGCATACTCGACGAATTAAAAGAGGGGCGAAATATGAATTGAATTCGACGATCGATAATAATTTAAGTAAAATTATTAATAAATTCGGCTCTACCACGTCAAATATTCAACTTGGCGCGCGGAAATGATGAAATTTCGATGGTTGGAAAAGGGTGCAATTTCCAATTTTGCACAATCTCTCTCGGATTTCCCTCCCCCCTTCCCAAAATTAATTACTATATCAAAAGGGCGCGCACGAAATATAGATACATGTATTGTATTTTTTTTTTTTTTTTTTTTTTCAATCCACGCTAATCGATCGCTAATTCCGCTGTACGATCGCTGAGAACGGATTAAAGCTGGATATACCGATCCTCGAACGATCGATCCGATCGTTTTTTTTCACCCCTCCCCCTCCCCTATATCATCGATTATTCGTTTCCGCAACTTGGAAAAAAAAAATAAATTCGTAGATTAATAAACGCGGGAGCCAATGTAATATGCAGTCAAGTTTCCCTCGAGTCCTTAGATAGCGCTGTAGTGGAGAGAGAGAGAGAGAGAGAGAGAGAGATGGAGCGCAGAGGAATGGTCGTTTTGCGAGAAGGAACGAACGGTGAAAAGCGGGGAAGGGGCGGGGAGGAGGAACGCAGGGAAAAGAGTGCCCAGGGATATGAGCTCCGCGATATCTCCGCCAGAGCTCTTTGCTAACTCGCGGCAACCTTTACATCCAGGAGGGAAAAAGCTGGTACGAAAAAAAAAAGAGAGAAAAAAAAAAAAAAAAGGAAAAAAAGAACGCGAACTCTCGAAACGCGGCGAGCTCGAACGCTTCGCGAAAAAAGGGAGGGAGGGGGAGGGGGAAGGGAGAGGAAATGAAAGGAAATAAAGAAAAATGGGGAGAATGAGAGAGATTTGCAACGATCGTCCAAAGAAATCGCTGCTAAATTCTCCATGTTTAAAAATGAGCTCGAAAAGGTTTACTTTGCACATTTATTCAATCAGAATAATTTAATCCGTTAAAATCGTAGCTGAACTCACTTAGCCCGGAAATTGTATTTCGTTTTTTAAGATAAAAGAGATTCGAAAATACGATACGAAGTACGAAAAGGGGATAAGGATAATCGCGAGGATAGGTCGGGAACGGGAGATGGGACGAGGCTTTTTGGCCTGGTGAACCACGTTTGGTGATACGCAATATCGAAAGTTCGTAGAGATTTACGTGTAACGTACTCGGTGGTGCAAGGTTCGCGCCCTTAACACCGCGGCCATAATGGACTTGCAAACTATTCGACGCGTGGTAACGTCTGGCCAACTTGGCTACGGTTTCGAAAGTGAGTTTCCTCCCTCCCTCCCCCCGTCGTCTATGGAAGCAACATCTCGGAATTATCCGAATCCTGAGATAAGCCCGCGCGTGTATTATCTTAGAGCGCGGAGGAAACTCGTTAATCGCGATTGAATCGAGATTGCGCTCGAGAGAGAGAGAGGGAAGAATAACGTTAATAACAAGGGGAAAGGATCGACGACAATTATAAAATTAAACTCGTGGAAAGGCGAAAGAGGGAGGGGGGGGGGAGAGGAAGAGACTTTGCCTGGGAAATTTGTTAATGGTGGATAAAGGGGCACGTTTCACGCCTCGGCCATTCCGCGTGACGATCGAAATCAATTACGGGAACAAATTGTAACGAGCGGCCTTCGTAGCGAACGCGAGATAAAAATTAAATTTCCCATTTTCGTTTGGTGGCCGCGAGCACGTTGAACGGGAGCGGCAATTATTTTTTAATCGCCGCCCGGGTGTAATCGCGTATTAATACGCGAATGCGGACCCCCCCTCACCGATAATTGCGCGGGAACACATCGGTGAACCGGTGAAATGGTTTCGTTGTCGCGCACGCGACAAGAACGAGACCGGCCCACTTTAACGGGCTCGTAGATAAATCTAATGGCCCATGCTAATTAGAAACAAAGACCATTATCGGCCCTCCCCAGCCGGGCAAAAACAAATTTCCCGGTCGTATCTATTACCGATTCCGCTTGTTCGTAACGACTGTTAACGCGAGATACATAAACCCCTACATATATAATAATCGAATATATGTATACACTCGATCGAAATCTAGCCATACCTATTCCTATTAGTCCGCGTATCCATTAAACTCTATCTCTACTTCGCTTTATATATATATATATATATATCTTGCGGAACGGAGAATTCAAGAAGGATCCAGCGACGGTCAAAGTCTTTATCCGAGTCGCCATTGCAGAGAATCCTTGGAAACCGAGTAGTAATTGTTATTTAACTCTCGAAGATTGAACGGAAGCTTGCGATCCAACCATACGGTTGTTCCGGCTTAATCATTCGCTTACTTAGAGGGAGAGAGTTATCTCCCTTCTCGTTCACCCAACTTTCCATCGTTAGACGTTAGTTCCCCTAGGAACTTGGCGACCCTTGATGCGCCCAGATAAACTTAATAGAGGCGGACTAATTAGGCCGGAAAGTAACCGGGCGAGATGGGATCGGGATCGGCATTTCGAGTCCGAGCTTTTCGAGGGTACACACCAATAATTTCTACTTGGCCACTTGCTGCCACAGGAGAGCCCCAGAAGATGAAGCGATTCGCCGACCAACGTCATCCACGCGCATCCCGCATCCTGGATCGTCGTCGATAGCTCGACACCGTCAACTAGCCTGCTCGAATTCACCGCGGGGAGCGTACTTTTCCGGTTGACCATTCCGGAACCCCTTCCGACACTTAAACGAAGCTCTACGTCCTCCAGCGTCGATATCCTCCTCTTGATCGTACCGAACGGGGTAAGAATCCTTCTTTTCTCTCTCTTTCTCTCTCTCTCTCTCTCTCTTTTTCTTCTTCTTCTTCTTCTTCTTCTTCCTCGTTAACACGGTGAGATGACGGATGCAACCGATCGAATTCGAAGCGCAACCCTCTCGAAGGTAATCGGTTTAACAGAGAGGAGAATTAGAATTTCGTTGTCGTTGGATCGATTCCATTAGACACTTTAAGCTGCTTGTTTGTCGAGGAGAAATAGAGAGAGAGAGAGAGAGAGAACAGAGATGTTACATCGAACATCCACGAAGGGTGGAACGGCGTCGAGATGATCTACGAGGGGAGGGATATACGAAATAGGGTGGACGAAGGAAGAAGGATCGTTCTGAACGATGCGTTGATCCACAGGCACGAAGGGGAAAGGTGAGAGAATAACGTAATCGCGTGACGAGACAACGGAAGAGAGGAGAATTTCGGACAAGAAGATGTCTCTCGTGTTCCGTTTCGTTCAGAAATGAGAAATTGCCGGAGGCAATTCTTGCGGGAGGATGAATGAATCAACGATTCACGTATTCTGTAGTTTCGTTTGTAGCTAATTTAAGCTAGCGTAATTTAGCTTAATTTCTTTGAGCTTCGGTTTAGCTTCCCTCTAGATGGAAACTCGTTCAAAAATCCGAAAACCGAAGAATATCGCCAAATTTTCTCCCCTCCCCGTTTAATCGATCGAAACTTCTTTTCTCGTTTCAGAACATCGTCGAGTGGCTCGACATCGTCCGAGAAGAAGAAGAACGAAGAACGAAGGAGGATCTCGGAAGAACAGGAAGAGAGTGGACCATCCAGAATGGAAACATCATGTTCACGGATGGAAAGAAAGAAAGAAAGAAAGAAAGAAAAAAAGGAATCGCAGTTTTGGATTCGACGTTCGAAAAAAAAAAAAAAAAAAAAAAAANTCAAAAAAAAAAAAAAAAAAAAAAAAAAAAAACAACGATGAGAGATAGAAATCTTCGGCCGTCTCTTTTTCTCTTCAAATCCCTCTCTTTTTCGCTCGATACCCATTCTCGAAAATGCGAGAAACGTGATAAACGTTGGCCGCGCGAACTAACGCGCCATCGACAAAACTATCGTGGCCAAATCAAATTTAAGTCCCATGAGTGTAAACTGCATTTACGGAGATATGTTTTTTTTTTTTTCGGCCGTGTTCGCGCGGTCTGTTCCAACAAGTTTAATTTTCTCTCCCGGGATCCTCCCCCTCCCCTCGCTCGTCAATCATTTACGCGTATCGAAAATTAAAACTTGAAATTCGCAAACGCGGAAATCGCAGAAGTCGTATCGATTTTCCTCCCGCGTTCGTTTCCATTCCCATCCCAAGAGGGGGGAGGGGGCGTCATCTTGCGACGTTTTTTATATACATTAGAATCCCTGCGAAGAATCTTTCTTGAAAGCGAGTCGCAAATCCGTGTTTTCCTTTCTTTTTTCTTTCTCGTCTCGTTGGGGACGATTTATATCGCCGGGGGTAAAAGAACGCGGCAGGTAGAGAGAGAGAGAGAGAGAGAGAGAATTGGAGAGGGGAAGAGAAGAGCAGGGAAGAAGACGTCGTAAACCTTATCCGCAAGCACGTGCGGATCGTTAGAAACACCACGTGGACGCGACGATTTCGTTTTACGGGATTGCAGAGGAAAGAAAGGGCAGGACACGGTCGATCCCGGATCTTGTAATAGGATTTCCGGGATCAACGAGTCTTTCCACGAGGCGACTTAACAGTCTTCGAGGCAGGGGCGTAATTGACGCGCTTAAGTTCAGCAAATTTCAGAAAAATTTACCTCGTCGTATTCGTTTGTACAGATATGTCTAGAAGAATTTTCTTCCCTAACGTTTGCAAGATTAAATCGAGGTCATCGAGCCGAGCCGCGATTAATTTGTACGGCGGGAACAACTGCCTCGAGGAACGAGCAGGTGTTCCAAATCCGGGGCGAAATCAATCGTGAAAAAAAGACGCTCCTCGATTTTCGAGCGACAGTTCGTCGAAACGCGTATCGTTCAGACGCGTCCAGGACCGCTCTTGTACAAAGTATTCCTTGTATTCCCTTTGAGCAGCGCGCGCGCGCGCGCGTGTGTGTGTATGTGTGTGTGTATGTGCGCGCGCGCGTCCAAATGCGCCGATCGATCGAGACGTCGAACTCCAGATCCATACGTTCTGTTCTTCGTAGACGGGGGGAGGTTTTTTTTTTTTTTTTTTTAAGGGAAAATCGTCGAAACCGGGTGGGAAATTGGTCGACGGAGTCGTTTGCGGCTCCACTTTCGGTCTCTCCGCGACAAGGGTGGTGGTTGTGTTATTACCGAGCCAAGGCTGAAGAAATCAGGCGGCAGTTTAATTAACGGAGAGTTCGCGGCAAGCATCGCCGTAAGAATTGTTACGGCCTCGACATCGGGCGAGTAATTGCATTTTCGGTGCACCGTCGTCGAATCGTAATATCGGCCTCGATTGGCCTCGGCGAAACGATCGCCGACGGAGAATGGCCAAGGAGGTAAGGGTGGAAAACACAAGCGCGTTGATAATAAAGGCGAAGGGGACGACAACGATGGCCGAGTTACTCGTTAAGGAGAAAAAGAAGAAGAAGAAGAAGAAGAACAAGAATAAGAAGAGGAAGAAGAAGGGGGCCAACGGGGCTCGTAAAACGTTTCTCCAGACGTTTCTGCAATAAAAAAAAAAACATTTATGTTAAAATTGGGCGAAACTTGGACACCGGACTTAAATTAAATCTTTCGCGTTTCTATCGATCGGGGAACACACGCACGCTTAATTTTTACATTTTTAGAGCTATAAAAGGATTACGTATAAATAGTTGTCGAACGAACGAGCGAACAGTGTTCCAGCGTTCTTCCGCGAGAGAAGAGGAAACTACTTTTTTGCCATTTCTAGCAATATATCAAAAAAAAAAAGAAAAAAAAAAAAAAAACTTTGCGAAGAGAAGAAAATCGTGGCAGCGTATGATGTCCGTGCAAGCTTACTAGTGCCGCCGTGCTTTTTCGTTACAAATTCATTTCGTCGCTCGTACCTATCGAACGATTTATATGAAAGTCATCGTAAGTCATCGATGGCGCGCCGTTCCGTCTAGTGCCGAGATCCCATCCCCAAACTAATCCCTTATTTCGAATATTTTAATCAAATATGATGTATACCATGATCGAGAAATCCTAATTTCTTTTCGGTAGATCGTTACTGAAATAGAGAGAGAGAGAGAGAGAGAGAGAGAGAGAGAGAGAGAGAGAGAGAGAGAGAGAGAGAGAAAAAGAAAAAGAAAAAAAATCAAAGAGAATAATGTAATATTAAAGTTACTCGACCCGATGTAATCGACACTTGAACGGAACGACGAGTCTAATCATAGCGAACACAAAAGAAAAATGTATTTTATGATATTTTACGCATAAAACGATCGTAAATCGAATATAGCGATTAGTCCAAGATAAACTTAAGTAGAGGTGTATAAAAAAGAACGCGAGATGTGCATAGCGTCGCGCAATATTCACTAAGGGCTGAGAAGTGAACGCGTCGATTTTGTCGAGCGAATGAAACAGGGCCGCGGAACGGTGATCGCGTGCGAACGATTGTACCAACCACGTTCATAGTTAATTATCTATAGAGGATCGTCGATCATTAACGTTAGCCCCGTAACGAGATCATCCTGTGCCAGGATCGCATCAAACTATGGAAAATGCGACCAATCTATTTCCGGAAAGTTTGATTTTCTCTTTTATACAAAAGTCGAATGAAAATCGGCTTAAACGATCCGCGGGAATCAACCCTCTCACTCACAGATAACATTAAGCGCTACTGTAAAATATTGTATATTATTTCACGTTATTTATTTTTCAATGTTTTTACTAGGAGACGCGTTTTTACGATACTCAAGAGAAATTATCGCGTAATGTTATATAGAAACATGAAACTCGTTCTGATCCGCGGTGCTGTGCCTACTTTTTCGTGACGAAACGGGCCTGTCAATTTCCCAGTCTTCTAATATTCCGAGATGACCGTAATAGATTAAATAGAGAAAGGACAAATTACAATTTAGAAGATAATAAAAGAATTTTTGATCATTGTTCGGGTTTTTACAGTCACAGCGGATCAGCCGGATTAGAATGTTTATAAAATTTCAACGTATTTCCAGCAGCTTTTGCAGTGTGTAAAACTAACCAGAGAAACCGAAGCAAATCTAGTCTAGGCGAGATTTAAGAGACGTAAGAGCTTGCGCGTTAAAAATTATTACGAACGTGCCGTCCGCCCTCAAAATGATCGGACGTGATCATAAGTATGAAGCGCGCGAACGCAAGCTTGCCTTGTTCTCGAAAGTTAAGTAATGTTAGTTTTGAAAATGGAGGCCGATCAAACGATTCGTTAGGTTTTGTTACGACTCGTGACAGGAAACGATTACGTTCCGTTATTGTTTAATAGCGAACGAAGTGCACTATGGATCGTATGGCTAACTCTAGCAGCACGAAATACTAACGAGGTAATAGCAAAATTGTTGTAAGGGAAAAAACGAACGCTGCAGATATTAACGAAGCATAAGCCGCTGTTGATGTTTCCTAACATGATCTTCGATTTCGATCGAAGAGATCGGTTACAATAGGTACCGAAAACGAGAATGTTATGACCAAATACCAATTATTTGACATCGCGAAATAAAATAAAAAACCGAAAAGAAAAAATTTACTTAGGACACAAGATTTATATTGAATTTCATTTAAAGACAAAATGATTCAAATCCGCCGCAATTATACCTAACGAAATATGCCTAGTCAACGTGTACGTGCTCCTAAGGTATTTTCATTCCGCATTTATCTATTTCGAGATTTTGTTTCGATATTCATGTAACGTTATTTAATGATAAATTACGATATTAAAAAAAAAAGAAGAAAAAAAGAAAAAAAACAGAATGAAGAATTCGATAAATTTGGAGCATTCGTACACTTAAAAATATTTATGTAATGCTAACGATGTTACTTGCGATTTGGTATATGACGAACGTCAAACACGAAAAATATTTTATTCTAGTCGTATCTTTCATGCTTTGCCAAGTAAAATAATATAATTCCTGTGTTAAGTGTAATAGTCAATTATGTTTTAATAAAATCTGCCAAGATTCTTGTCAATACTTTTCTTTCCCTAATCACGAATAAATTAAATTAATCACAATTAAATGAATAGATATAAATGCGTAATCATAAAAGTATATGACCAGGAAAGTAGGATTCTCTGAGGAGAATTGGAATATCCTACAAAGTGAATATGCTTATAAAATTATCACAATTATATCAAAATATATATTCATATAAAAAACTCTTCATAGATAATATTGGTACATATGCATGTTCGAACAAATATTCAAATCCTTAAGAAGAACATGATTGCTTATAAGTTATAATTATTTGTATAAAAAGAAATTTAAATAACAATCTTAATATTAGTTATAGCTAAAAAGATAAAATGAACATATGCTTCATATGTACATTTCAATTATCGAGAAAAAATATATAATACCTAAACATTCTTATAGCTAACTATGGTATCCATCTTATGGAGAGAAGTTGAAAATGATCTTAACTGTACTTCTTGACTGTTCGCAATAAATACTGGTTGCGTTTCATCCCATTCTTTAGGAATACCACAGTCAGGTACCGTATAAGTCAAAATATCAAATGAGCATAAACAATCTAATAATGGAAGAAAACTTACAGTACCTGAAATACAAAAGAACCAACAAAATGGATTGTAATATTTCATTAATGTAGAAACATTTTAATAAAAAAATCTTAAATCTGAATTGAATGCAATAAGTTACCTGTGATCTGACGTATAACTTCACGAATCTCCTTTTGTATAGTTTTTACATCCTTTGTACCCACTTCCGGAAAGCTATTATTCGTATTGTCATTAGTAGTATTAGAAGTCTGACCTTCGTAATCCACTTTGAAATCCCATTTCTCTAAAACTTCTTTGGTATTTACATTTGTTATAACAAGTGTTATCTTTTGTACTTTTCGTTGAATAAGCCATTCTTGAATCTGACCAAGAACAGTATTTAAGAATCCTTTGATCTTTTCGTCCGTCGACATTAAAACGAATAAACCAAAATGTTCAGCATGTTCAAATGTTTCTGGCGGATAAATACCTCTTTGGTATAAAATACTGTTTACTCCATAAACTTCAACAAAATATACAATATAATATAATAATAATGCATTCAATAAAATTCTATCTAACATATTCGGCAAAAATATTTTAAAAAAATATTAAAAATATGATCAACTTACGAAGATATTCTTTAACCAACTCTGCTGAACCTTTCAACGTAATACACTTTGTTTTTTGTTGAGTTTCTGTCATAATTTTTAAAGATCTAACACAAAATACAATGAATAACCTAAATTTCTGTTCAAAATCTAACAGCTTTATAGGTTACGAGAAAGGCGGTTTATCATTTGAAAATATCCAATGCACTACTTACTGACCCATATTTCACCAATCACAAAAGAAACGTTCATAAAATAAACCATGATTTGACGCACAATTTTAAAAGCAATATCGATTACAAAAAAAATGTAACATAATTAAAGGAAATCAATTGAGAATTTTCAAAATATAGATAATTATATGTAAATTATAAATATTTAACTATATTATATATTTTAATTAATACACCAAAATGATTAAACTTATCACCAATCGAGAATTACGTCATATCATATGTGTTCCACAACTAACATGTTATCCTACAGGAATAACGCCATCTTCGATCAACGTAATTCGCGTTCGATTGTAGCGCCATACATATAAGAATGGAGAACGTGTGTGATTATCGTGCATCCAATTGCGGTTAACTTTCAAGCTCTTTTCACGCGTCCATCATGGCATCCACTGAAGAACTGAGTGTCTCTGCCCTTGTATACGATTATTTATTGAAAAAAGACGCGTCACTGGCAAAGGTTTTTCAAAAGAAAACGAAAGCGGTAAGGTTATAAGAAACTTTTATATATATATATACAGTAGTTGATCGATTTTCAAGATGTTAATATCCATGCGGTACCAGAAGTACCGCCATTTAGCCATACCACGTGGGCAGTTATATTCGTTATTTTATATTTCAAATTTATATTAAAATAAAATTGTCTATTTATTCTCTTTATCTTCTAAATAAATGCTATTTAATACTTTTAAACTTTTAATACTTTTAAACATATGTTCCTTATGAAATATTATAGATAATAATTAATTGTAAAAGTAATACGACCTTCATTCACGATCATTTATTTTCTTTTTAGCCCACATTACCAAAAGGTGCACCAACAATTCTTGATGTATACCAACATTATCAAAAAACATCTCAGAAAAAATTAAATGTAAAAGCACAAGCTAAAGATAGCAGTTCAGATACAAGTTCAGAAAGTGAGGAAGAAACACCAAAAAAAATTTCTCAAATAAATGGTAAAACTACAGTTAATGCTGTAATAAATAATAAAAAAAATGAATCTTCTTCAGAAGATACCTCCAGCGAAAGTGAAAAAGCACTCAAAGTAGTTACAAAAGCTAAAACTGCTGTTAAAACATCTAAAGCATCACCTGTAAAGAAAAAAGAAAGTACAGATGAAAGTTCTTCAGAAGAGGAAGAAGAGACACCAAAAACACAACCTAAAGCAGTATCAACACCTAAAATATCTAAAGAGCAAAAATCTTCAGATGATTCTGATTCAGAAAGTGAAGAAGAATCTAAAACAAACATAACCGCAAAAACAAATACAAAATCAATTATAACATCTAAGGCAAAGGTTGGAGCCAATCAAAAGGAATCTTCAAGTGAAGATAGTAGTGAAAGTGAAGATGAAAGTCCAGTTAAGCCAGTATTAAAAAAAGCAACGCCTATTTCACCAACAAAAACAATAGCAAAAAAGGAAGAATCTTCCAGTGATGATTCTGATGATTCGTCAGAAGAAGAAAATGCTAAACCACAATTACCAATTAAACCTAAATCAGTTATAAAATCTGCCAATGTTACTAAACCACAAGAATCATCAAGTGATGATACTGATGATTCATCAGAAGAAACAACTGTTGCAAAGACATCAGGTATTATTTCTAAATCTAATCAAGAAAAGAAAAAACAAGAAAAAAATGTTCAACAAAAGAAAGAAGCAATAAAAGTTGGAAAACAAAATAAAGGTTTAGTTACTAAATCAACAGTAACAGTGACTAAAGAAGAATCATCATCTAGTGAAGAAAGCAGTGAAGAAGAAGCTAAAAAAACTAACATTCTTCAATCAACATCAGTTGCTACTAAAAAGGTTCCATCTAAAAAGGAAGAATCTTCTAGTGAAGATAGTAGTGAAGAAGAACCACAAGTTAAAAAGGTCCAACCAGTAGCACCATTTTCATTCATCACAAAAAATGTTCCAGTTAAGAAAGAAGAGTCTTCTAGTGAAGATAGCAGCGAAGAAGAACCACCAGCCAAAAAAGTTGCTGCTTCAGTAGCACCAATAACACCAAAAAAAGTATCTGTTAAGAACGAAGAATCTTCTTCTAGTGAAGATAGCAGTGAAGAAGAAGAACCATCAACCAAAAAATCTGTTTCTGCCAAAGTAACATCAACTAATACCGTAATTAAGAAAACTGAATCTTCTAGTGAAGATTCTGATGATTCTGATGAAAATGAAAAATCAGTTACAAAATCAACAACAAAATCAATAGGAAAGAAAGATGAGTCTAGTTCTGAAGATTCATCCGAATCTGAAGATGAAAAACCAGTACCTACCAAAACACCAGTACCTATAAAAACAATTACGAAAACTGATGCTAAAAAGGAATCATCCAGTGAAGATTCTGATTCAGATTCATCAGAAGAAGAAAAACCAAAAACAATGCCTATTGTTTCAAAATCAAAAACAACAGAAATTAAACAAGATACAGAAGAAAAATCACAAAAAACACCTAAAGCTGAAAAAAGGAAACATAAAGAAATAGAACAAGAAAAAGATGATGAGGATACAGGAAAACCTCCAGTAAAAGCTCAAAAAAATAACTATAGTAATTTTGTAAAGGCAAACAATAGTTTTAATAATGACAAGGTAATTATATCATATTTAATATATTTCTTTAAAAAAATTTTTTTTTTATTTATGAAATTGTATGTTTAGCAACCAAAAAATACTCCATTTCGTCGTGTAAAGGACGATGAGGTAGAATTGGATCCCAAATTGGCAAACAATTCTTTTGAGGCAAAGGTAAATGCTTGGAAACATCTGAAAAGCACAGATCACTCGCCGTTTTATATAAAGCTTGAGACCATGTTTCCGTGCATTCACCAATTCCTTTTTTAATTTTTCTATTTTTCTTTTTTTTTTTTCATAGAAACTTTAAAAAGATAGAGATAAAGATAGTTGAACAAATGTTTATAAATATATATATAGAAAACGGCGATTGACCTGAGTTTCTCTTTTGTTTTAGGAGGACAATCAGGAAGAGGGTGGTTTTAAGAAACATGGTGGAAGGGGTGGATTTGGTGGAGGAAAAGGTGGTTTCGGTCGTGGTGGATTTAAGGGAGGTCGTGGCGGTGATAAAGATAGGGGTGGACGCGGTGATAGGGGAGGTAGAGGTGGTTTTAAAGGTGGTCGAGGAAATTTTAAGGGTGGTTTTGATAACAGAAGATCATGGGGTGGGAACGATAGGGGGAATGATAACGAAGGAGGCAAGTCCGACGGATTTAGAAAATCATGGGGTAATAATGAAAGAGGTGGTCGCGGTGGATTTAGAGGGGGTAAAGGCAATTTTGACAGAAAAAGATCATTCGATAGTGCGCCGGTACAAAATAAAAAAATAACGTTTGACGATTGATGATGATAAAGATATATATAAAGGTGAGGGGTAGTTAGTTTAGAGTAATCAAGTATTCAAGTAAACGTTATTATAATAAGTAAAAATATAATTTTTTTTTCTTTTTTTTTTTTTTTTTCAACAGAAAGGTGCTCGTGGTTCTTGGGGAGAAAAAGCGAATCAAGACCTCAAATACACGAGAGGAAAGTCATTTCGTCACGAAAAGACGAAGAAAAAACGTGGTAGCTACCGCGGCGGTCAAATAGATACTAGCGTCAATTCTATTAAGTTTGACGATTGAATAAACATTATATTGTAAAATATAAATGAACATGTTTTAACATTAGTAACGTATATTTAGTTAAGTGAACAGATAGAAGAATATTAGAACTGTTTAAGTTTTCCTTAATAAGACACTTTGTTAATATCTTTGAAAACACACATTAACACTATGTTACAATCATAGAATATAAATTTTATTCATTTTATTATTACATAAGTTATTTTCACGTAGTTCTTTTTTAATAATTAGTATCTATAAGACTGCAAATTAAATATATTTGACGAAAATCTCTACCACTTATTTTAATATGAGGAGTATAATTTATGAAAGATACTTCGATACTGACTAGCTTTTGAAAAATTAATGAATGTTGTCTATTGCAATATGTAACATATTTCATAAATTATCCTTCCTAGAATTCATAGGAAATTTGATAGATATCATTTAAATTTGCTAATTAAAACTTGTAAAAGATGTTGCTTAAAGGAATCCTAGCTTTACTTATCGTCAAATGTATCTGGAAAAAATTTTCTGAAGATACATTCTCAACGGTTTTCAATAGAAATGTGTTTTGACATTGCTTTTTTATAATTAATAATAAGAACTTGCGATAATGTCAAATCGTTCACAATCATAATGAACTCTGGTCAAAAATTCAAATTATAAAATACTAAATTTGCAAACTAATGTTTATATGTATAACAGCTAATATTTAAAGAAATTTTATAATTAATTTATACACAAACAATTCGATAAATCTAATTGGCAATCACTTTAAATAAAAAAAAAAAACAATATCAACACGCAATTTTGGGTATTTGTTGAATTCTCATCATTGTTCGTTTAAAAACACGTATACCTTATCATACATTATCACGAAATAATTAAAAACAATTTATCTTTATTATATTATTATTTTAATCTTCGTATCTGCGTAAATATTATCTTGATATTTCTAATTCATAAATGATTATTCATAATCTTTTTGTATAAAAAATAATAATTCCGATGAACATGCAAACACTAGATAGAAACTTTTTGATGAAATATAAAAGAAAAAGAGGGGCGTTCTTAAGTTACCCTTTTTCTCTTCAAACTTTTTCTTCAATAAAAGAAAAAAAGGTTTCGAGGTAGAATAGGGGCCGATATTCCTCATCTCATCCCCTCTTTTTCCTTGGCTCTACCAGAGCACAGAGAGTGGTTACTTACGATTCTACAGTCAACCTCTGGACATCCACCTGTGAGGACGGAGGTGTTCGACCCCACGACATCCGGTGCGGTGACATGAACGGTGTTTAAGGAACTCGTGTGCCCCCGTTTTAATTCAATTCCTTCTTCCACTAGAACATTGCGATCAATTCATGTAACGCGTATAACTAATTGTATTGTCAAACAGACCGAGAAAACGATTCAAGTTCACAGTGTTAAAAAATGGTCTTCCTCATGGTGAGTGACATCCTGTAGACTGTAACAGACATTAATTAAAACATTTTCATGACTGAATCGTTGAATGTAACATCACAAAATGGTACGTACAAATTTTAATGACTTGAAAGCTTATCGGAATCATAATGATTCTCCAATAGTTCATTTAAGTTAAACATTAATTCTTACCTTAAATTAAATATCTGATCTATATTGAAAATGAAAATAAAGTAATTACATTCTGGAATCAAAAGACATTTGAATTTCAATTTTTACTTAAATGTAATTAAAGCTCCTATATTTTTACAATTAAAATTTTAATACAGAATGGAATAATAAAAAAAATTATAATTTAAACTTTTCAATGGAAGATAAGATATGAATTGATACAACAAAAACACGTTGATATTTCAAAAAAAAGATTTTTTTATAAAAAAAAATAATGAGATATTTCAAAAAAAAGGATAAATAAATAATAATTTTGAGTTGATTTCTTCCTAGATGATTTCTAATTATAGAATTCCAATCCTTTACAATCTTTTGCCCCTCTTCATTACTCTATTAATATTTAGTCTATTCTATGTCATGACACATAAAAGTGATAACGAGCTATTGGTTAGAAAATCATAATGTGAATGCAGAGGCTGGAAGAGGAGGAATTCCAATACGTAACAAATCCATGACAGTTATAATAATATATTCATATAACGAAGAACCAAAATGATTGTACCGTTAACAGAGACCAAGGATGAGTAAATGTATACTCGATAAAAGAACGACCGGAGAGAAAACAGCGTTTTGGACGATTCATCTTTACCGTTAGAACCAACCGCATGACACGCTCATGGTCCACGAGGAATCTTCTCCTGACTACCGGAAGCATAATTTTTCCTAAACTCTTTTTCTTCGTTATGTTTCATCAATTTTATTTCATCTATCAATATTACGTATATAATTATTTTATCTTTCTCGAAGCAATTTCACAATTCCAGTTAGATAAATCTCGTTTCAATTCGATCGATTCGAGTGTTTCCACGATCAGAGATAGCTAGTTAATTAATCCTGTTTTAATATATTAACAGTACTTCTCCGATGGGAAATACTGGGAAAAATTTCTAAATAATAAAGTGAAAAGTTACAGCACAAATAATTGTTTTTGTCGATGATGAATGGAAACTTATGGAAGACCTCGATCTTCCAAGTTCAAGTGATTCTCACGTCTTTCTTAACTCGGTCTTCTCTTTTTCGCAAGATCGCCGTTATGTAATTCATCGAAGCTTGACTAAGATAGTTACTCGATAGCCTTTACCGTGTGATCAATATCACGATTAAAGATTACGATCATTTAATCCATAAAAAATTAGAAAAAGCTACAAAAGACAAATTTATATTAATATATATATTTTTAAATATTTATAACGAGATATATTTAAATTTCTAAAATCAAAAAATATTCCCATATTTGCGTGTGATTCGATCAAGATAATATGCATCCTTTACGATATTATCGCTGAACTATATACAATTCAGTTGTTTCTTGTGGTACAGGAAGAATGCTGGACAGCACATCCTGAAGAAATAGATGCGCGATACCAGTCACGGCCAATGACCAGCCTTGGGTGCTATCCAATAATGATTTTCTTCCTTTCCTTTCCCACGCGCAATTTATCACTTGGGCAAACATCAAACCGCAATTTTATACCACGTTGACTATTCTATTCAATTTCAATTCGTCAAATAATAATTGAACAAGTTAAAAAAACTAGATCAAACGTTTACGTTTCTCGGAATAAAAGTATTCGAAATTGAACAGCTGCATGCTATCGCGTTGCTTTCACTCATATTTGATCGACAACGAGAAATACATAGCGGAAGTTATGTGAACCTGGCAACCTACAAACCTCAAACTCCATACATGAATTCATATTGGTTACGCGCGTTCATTAATTATTATTCTCGAATGCATACGTTCTCTCGTCAAGACGATTTTCATCGTTCGTGAGGCTCGAAAGCGAAAAAGCTCGAGACCAATCCGTGAAACGGAATCTCTGTCGAAGAACGGAAACAAAGAATAATGATAGACTTAAAGGCAATTGTTAAATAAAATAAAAATGTAGATATGTACGAATCTCGATCACATCATCGGTAATGAAAGCGTGCTAAAGAATGATTGGATGAATTTTTTTCGGCCACGATGCATCACGATCCAAAGCCAATGTCATTTACTTTTGCTCTTGACCTCGTGCGAAGTCGAGTTCCAAGTCTGTTCTCACTCGCATAGTGGGTCCTGGTAATCCAGAGTCCAGTGCCAGTTGTGATTGTTTTATTCATGAGATGTTGCTCGTCGGCTTAATTAATTTTCATTAATGTACGTGTCTTTTAAAACGGCTCTTGATACGTGAAACTATCTATTCGTTTCCACGCTTTCGTTTTGTAGAAACACACGATTATTATTATCATAATTCGCCAACCTAGTTTTGGAATTGAAATGTTAACCTGTTCTCGAATCGATAAGCAATTCAATTTTACCGGTGTTTCAAGTGTGTTATTATTATAATTTTTGATGTAATTTCAGATGTCCAGGTACCTCGGTCTGATTCTGCTCGTTATTACAACATGCGCCCACGGAGCCAAAAAATGCGAGGGAAATGGTTTGGGCTTGAAATATGTATGGGGCGATGCGCTCACGGATCCAGCCGATTGTATAGGTCCAAATAACGTGCAGTACCCGTCGTAAGTGTCCTCTGATAAAGCTCCCCAGCTAGAATTTGAATGATTCATTTTACTAGAGATTTTCGTTATCGATTAAACGAATGACTGTCACACAGAGCCGCAATATCGAGAAGTTACAAGAATCTTTGGACGAACAGCCGAATTGCGAGATCTCACCAGGCACGAACGATCGATCCTGAATTAACGAGGCAGGCTCTATTGCACAATTACAAAATTACCCATGGAGATTATTCGATGGCCGAATCCTCGCGAAATGGTGAGTTAGTAAAATCGATAGATTATTGTTTATCTATCGAGAAACAGATCTTTTAAAAAAATTTTTAAAAAATTTTTTAAAAAATTCATTTAGAGAGATTCGTTCAGATTAAATTCGAAACGTTTTGTTTTGGAAATGACGTTTCCTATTCGGTCGCAAAACAATTTAACGGATCACGATCGAATCGAGAACGTGGCTTGGTTGAAAACACGCGGAAGACGAACTTGTCTCTCTTGCTCGAAGCGCAACAGTAGTCGAGCCGGTTACCTGAATCACGAATAATTACGCACAGCTATAACCTACATCCGCGTCGAACATAAGCGATGTATTTATCCTGCAATTGCTACTCTCTTTGTCCAAATATAAGTATATATACTATTCATTTGCATACTCACTGCGCTCGTATACACACCTCCAGTAACCCTCAACAGACATTATGTTGGTGCTTAACTTATAATTATTGCAGTTACTCCTTCGGGATATTACCAAACGTTCACATACGCTTTACGAGGTTATTGTACTCTGGTCTGGTAATATGCAAACATTGTATTCTCATGTGCTAGCATTACCACGATCAACGTTCTTGGTAATTCGCTATGGAATATGCTTTTTTATAAAAAAGAAACCGTTTTCCTTATATTCGCTGTCGTGTGAATACTTCTTCTTTCTAATACCGTTGCGTCTACGATAAGAACGCTAGCGAAAAGTTCCAAAAAAACTGTAGCATTATTTTGTAAAGATTATGCATTCCCACGAATGCTTTTAAAGAATCTTCAAAGTTTAATATTGGAAGCATATTGGAAAACGTATAAAAATTGGAACAACCGGTTGCGCGATATATCGCCACTTTGCAGCCTTGAATTATGCAGTTGTTCTTATGACACGAAAACCCGATTCCGATCGAGCTCAACACCCGCTGCACGGGTGTTTATGCACGGTGAATTCTTTTCCTTGAAATTCGTGGCTTGTCATTTCATGATTTAACGTCTATACGCGCGAAAAATGCATCAGTTCAAGCGTTATCGTTTACCAGAATCGATTATTCGTCCTTTAAATAATGACTCGCTGATGCAGGAGGACGGTAATAAGGCACCGTGTTATCCGGCCAATACAGTTATCGCTCGTTCTGCTCATAACGGGACACTGGCGACCCACTCGTTTCGAACACATGAACCGACAGAATTCCAAAGAAAGGGCGTGAATCTCGTAAACAAGTTTAACAGAGAACCTCCTTCTTTTTGATCGTTATCCAGATTTTTTTTATTAAATAATTCTTGGGTGATTTTTTTCTAAGAATTTTGCAAGGGAATTGAATATTTCTTTAAATATATGAATGCATTTTAAAAATATGAAAAATTATATTGATAAATTCTGAATATCGAGAAATTATCTTTTTTATGTGGGTCGACGTGTTTTTTCTTTTAGGCAGAGGATTTTCCTCGAGGGAAACATGCGGTTCACCAGCTAGATTATGCAAAACGAGGTACAACACTACGGCACCTATGTACGGAGTCAGTTTAACCAGCGGCCAACCTGTGACAATCGTGCAAAAATTCCCTGATCTTTTGCAGCAAGTTGTATTCGAAGTTTGCGAGTGAGTATTTGCTATCGTATCTTTGAGCATGATCTTTTAAAATTCGCTTAATCATTCGTGTTTGCAAATTAAAAAACTAGGTTCGATCATTACTTTCGTAGCACGTTCGATCGTGATCTGTGAATATATGCGATGTGTTTCCAATTGAAATTCGTCGAGACCTACTGGTAAGTACATTAATTCGAATCTGGCACAGTGGGCCGGACAGCTCTGACCAGGACAAAGCCTACTTTTGAAACGTTTTGGACCAGTATTTCCGTTTGTATTATCGAAGCACGACGTGTCGTAGATCAGTAGTAAACTGCCAAGAATTATCTTGACACCTTTTTCTCTCCTCGTCATCGGTTTAATACTTTTCCTGTTAAATAATGCATAGTACAGAAACGTTAACGCATTGTTCCAGATCAAAAGAGTGCGATGTAGTCCACGGTGAGTGCACGCAGACATACGTGCCATACCTGTTCCTGGTGATTCCACTTGGACCGGTGACCTTGACCGGTCAAGATTACGTTCTGGTCGAGAGTGGTTGCGTGTGCAAGCCGAGAAATTCGGCGAGCGCCATGTCCGAGCCTCCGGCTGTTCCAAGCTTTTAAACGTTCGTCGAACTCTAGCGATCGACATCGAGCGCACCTTTACACCTCTGCGCTGGAGGACATACAGCTCGAGATCCGTGTCGAATGTGACGAATCGGTGGAAGGTGACCCGAAGCTCGAACAACCTCGCCGAGGAACCTAGTAACCTCTTTGACGAAGCTAGCAAAGGATGCTGAAACCAGTATTGAAGTCGCTAGAGAATTGATTTCTCGAGAGAAATCTAGAATATGAACAATTTTCCCTGCGTATGCAGTACATCTTTCTTCCGCGACGGAATACTAACTTTTACCGTGGATCAGCTTCTCTAGTTTGTCCGAGGTGTCATGTCACGATTTCCACGAGGAGCAGCTTTCTATTAAAGCTGAAGATTCCTTTCGTTGCGATCTCGAATATTTCGTGAAATTCATCGTATAGATAATTTAGACGTCAAAGGAAAGACTCTTTTATCATGAATCATTTATAACAGGGATTCAGTCCGTACATCGGTATCGATTATAAAATTCGATTATAAAATTTACCTATTCATAATATTCATTTTGTATTTTTGTCGGTTTCTTTATAAAAAAAAGAAATAGTTTCAAAGAAACAACAGTAAAAAGTTCGTAGCTCGAATAATGGCGCGATCCCTTTATCATTGTTTTTCTTGAAGTAAAAAAAAAAAAAAAAAAAAAAGAAGAAGAAGAAGAAGAAGAAAAAGAAGGAAGGAAATAAGTTAGAAGAAATTATTTCAACGTGAAAAAACAAATCGGAGCAGTGGCGGTCGTTTCGCGGAATCCGGTCTCGGAATCCGATCGAGTTCACTAGACCTGCCCACGAGCCGGTTTCAAGCAGGTGTATAGAACAGCTTGTAACAGTGCTCCGCAAGAAATATCAGCGAGAAATTCTTTCGAAACGTATCACAAAGTTATATCATTTGCGTCAATTGCATATTAATGTTGGAAACTTTGTTAATGTGTTTTCCAGTTTATCATCGAATCCTTAATATCACCATTATCCGTTCTGTTTTATTGATCATAAGATAAATTTTTTAGAATTCATTTTCTTCGTGTATTCATTTTCTTGATATATCTTATATGAGACATCAACAATTGATTGATTAAAGCGGTCATAAAAACCGACCGACCGAAAAATCTAATTTTGATTTTCTTTCTCAATATATATCATTAATTAAAGAAAAAAAATCTCTTATCATTGCACAAAACGTATAAATAATTTTTCGTGAAGATAAAATGCTAAAAAATAAAAAAAATCGTTCTTATTCTCATATTAGAATCAGTTAAATCGTTACTGAAACACGCTACTGGCCTGTTTATGTTTCTTAGAACCGGACTTTGAAAGCTCGCGTTAGAATCGTACCGACAAACAGGATAGACGTGCAATCGCAATACGAATGGACCGTACCATGAATTCCGATGAGTATAAAGTACCGTTATCCGCTTTGCGGGACCCTTCACCTCGATTTACTTCACTTGGTTATTTCATAGGCAAGATTTATACGGCGCCTACAAGTAGCTAACTTGTGTCGTTCATTCATGGCGCGCCACTTAATCATCAATAGCTCTTTTGCTTTGATCCAGGTATTAGTTTTCTACGGTGCTTGTGATTTTCCTATGCAATTATAAATAGCATCGTAATTCTAAAATTCAAATATTTAAGTCAAAAAATGACAATTGAACAAAATGTCTTCCGATTTTGTATATTTCATCGTAAAAGAAATTAAATATCGATTATTCGTTAGACAAAATACAAGATGGAGCACATCAAACGTTATAAGTTTTTCCCGAAACTACTACATGATATTGACATGCTTTTTTTTTTAATATCTGTATCTTATATGATTTGTTTATCAATGATTTAATATAAAAAAAAAAGAAACATAAATATCTATAGTAGTTTAGGAGAAAATTGTTTATAATTTTTTATGTGATTCATTTTATATAAATGGGAATTAAATACAAATACGAATTCGTATATCGATATTCTGTGCCGTACGGAAAAAGTGATACATAGAGAAATGCGGTAATGTTACATACAGCGAATTTTTTTCATATCGCATGTCATCTTTTGTATCTATAGTTGTAATATGCAAGTATATATTTATAATTTATTATTAGATTATGGCGTATTATGTAAATGAATTTTCAACAAATTTCAATTCCTTTATATCCTTTTCTATTCCTTGCTTAGAATTATTGAAACGAAATTTCGTTTCGACATATGATTAATTTAAAATAATCAAAAATGAATAAATACATACCTTGAAATTTATTTTTAGTATCTAACGGTACCAAAAAAGTATGCACAACTAACGCCAATAACCGGAAAAAATAAATACGTACATACTATGAAATACTCGTATAATCTTTTCAAAGCAACTACTTGAATCATTTTCTTTCCATATACTTGAAACGGAAAAATGTATACAAAATCGTATCTTAATTAGTTAAACTATTTATTAATTTCTTGCTATTTAATAGAAAAATATTATCGATAAAATATAACTTATTTTTCAGCATTACAGTAAATATAAATTATGTAAATTATATTATTAAATAAAATATTATTGCAAAATTCAAATTCTTCCTAAGAAAAAGTTTTGTGAAAAAAGGAAGTTGGTAACACTTACCAATAGGTAGCACTGTTTATTGCCAAGCAACTTCAATTTCCTGTTTTAACGACACGGTCGCCATGTTGGCGGAATGATCTATTGTGTGCCCGCGTTGATATGTACTCCATTTTAACGTTCGATATTTATATGTACAAGATTATACAAAGTTTCGTAAATAAGAAGAGATACAGTATCTAACAACATTTACTTTTGATTTACTTTTTTTCATTCGTCGTTGGAGAAAAAAATTGGAACATCGCCAATTCTCAACGAATATCGTGCAATTTTTGGTTTTTGCACATTGCCAAAATGATGTACACGGTAAATTTATTATTATTATTATATTTACCGTTAAAAATTATACTTTATGCTATTCAAATTCTATTGAATTTAATTATATTGCTTTTAATTCTTCGTATTTTAAGTTTTAATTATTAATTTATAGGGGACTACCGCGTCACAGGACACGAGGTTCAGCGATAAGGAGAAAAAACTTCTCAAACAAATGAAATTTGGTGATTCTCTTACTCAGAAAGTAAATATTTAAAATATAAATAATATAGATATACTTAATTATATTATTGAATTTCAATTGATTACTCTAATCAATTTTAGCTTTCATATTCATTGTAAATTATTATATTTTAGGTGGATATGAGCAAAGTTAAACTGGATGTTATTAAACCATGGATAACTACAAAGATTACACAGATTTTAGGCATGGAGGATGATGTAGTGGTAGAATTTGTATATAATCAACTGGAAGAAAAGGTAAGAAATTTGTTGTACATATTATTAGTGTGATTGTAATTAGGCCTAAGAGACTTTAAATTAATAATATGATATATAAAATGCGTTCACTTGGCTTTTTCCCCTCATCATAGGAAATCGATAAATACACATTATTTCAGCACAATGTTTTGTACGAGTACCAATGTTGTTACGAATGCTATCATCCAAAATCTGCACAATGTGCTGACTTTGGAAATGAAAAGCAAGGAGGCAGAAACCATATTAGTCATATTTGCCTCATTGTTTTTTTCTTTTTTTTTTTTTTTTTTTTTTTTTTTTATATATAATTTTAATAATACATCATCGAACCTCTATATCCTGTGTATCCTATTTTTATTAACCTTAAATATCCATTCCAAGCTATATCCTATATCAACGAAAAACTGATGTAGCTGATCCTGCAATACTGTAACATGTAAAATCAATGTTTTATCACGTATGTTTGAATTCCCCGTTAGTATAAGTAGAGACCGTTGGTGGGGCTCAACCCTATTGTCCAAATGGCATTCGGATGTGCTCCTCTCTGCATCCGATTGGCCGCCTTTCTATCAGCCGTCAACGCTAGCTGATGCCAGCTGGTATGTCAACGTCATCTTAGAACACTGCTGAAACTTCAGCCTCAGCAGTTCATCCACCTTCGATTCATCGTCACTGGAGAAATGGCGTATTCGCAATAATCTCATCGCATCATCCTGTTCCTGTGGCACTGCCCGTGGCCTTCTACCATTCTGCAGATGTCTTCGTTGCTGTAACGGCGTCTACTAGCTGTGCTGATCATCGTCTTCGCCAGTTCGTGACTGCCTCGTTCGAGGTGGTTACACTTCAAAATTGCAACTACGAACCACTGCATTGCGGCTTTCAATCATTGGACATCCAGTGACAATCGGCACTTCCAATTGAGGCAAGACGAAATCATCGTACTATCAACCCAAATGCTGCGATCATCCCACAAGGACAACAACGGGGTGTATTCTCCCGAGATGCAGGTTGCAACATTTTCCGTGCCTCTCAACAACATCCTGACGAATCAAGGATCATTACATCATGCAGGTCTGTTCTCCAGTTAATGATTCTCAAGACATACAATCAATCCCAGATGCGATTGACTCATGGACGATGCCGGAGGTATCTCTACTCGGTTTGACACTCTTTGTCAACGTCACAGGTTGGTGGAACGGTGTTCCTTCTATTCCAAATTAATCCTTTCATTTTCAGCTAACACTTTCAACACATATTTCTAAGTCCTATTTCAGCATCTTTATTTTAGCAGTATTATTAAATTAAAAAGGTATAAATGTATCTGTGCTACTTGTGCGTTTATCGATGAGTATATATTTTTTTTTCTTAGCATATTGCATATTAGTACAGACGTGAAACGAGCAGTTTTTTGTTAACGGTAAGGTATATTAGAAATATAAAAAATATATCTGCTTTTTCGAGGGGGAAAAGCAGTTAGTATCGACCTAGGGAGATGGAATTTATAATGTTCATTCTTTCATAATAAAATTATATAGAACTGAACTTCTAATGTTCGTTCATGTTAATAGCTCGTGATAATAAAAAGGGTACTGTATATTTTACAGTTTCCTGACCCCCGAAAAATGCAGATCAACCTCACAGGATTCCTGAATGGAAGGAATGCCCGATCTTTCATGGGTGAATTATGGGACCTTTTGGTCTCTGCTCAGGAAAGTGTTACGGGCATTCCAGAGGCTTTCTTACAACAAAAAAAAGATCAAATTAAGAAACGTTTGGTAATTATTAAATTTTCACATTGTTATTCTTTAATGTTATTCCATGAACTAATCTATTAATAGTAAAACAATTGAATAACTAGATTTTGACATTCAATAAAATGTTCAATTCAATCAATTTTTTTGATACATACAATTCAATTTAGATCTTTTATGTTTATTTACAAATAAGTAATTTATGAAATCAGGAAGAGCAAGAGAAACTCCAAGCTTCTTTGGCGGAGAAAGAAAAGGAGAAGGAAAGAGAAAAGGAAAAAGATGAAGCAGAAAACAAGATAAAGAAAGAAGAAAAAGAACGAGGTTCATCGAAAGAACGTCGTAGAGATCGAAGTAGAGATCGTGATAGGGACAGGTATTTCTTTACTAATAAATCTTTACTAAAAAAAAATAATAAATATTAGATATTTTTGTATAATTTTATATATATTTTAAATAAATATTATTATTTGTAGAAAAAGAAGTCGATCGAGAGATCGACACAGAGATCGTGACAGATCGACTCGCAAACGACGATCCTCTTCGAGATCACCTAGTAAAAATTCGCTTAAAGACAACGGGAAAGATATGTCTGAAATTAAAGTGGAACGAGAAGATTCGCCACAACCCGAAAATGCTATACCGCTCATGCCTGTTAAAACAAAACCGTAAGTATTTATATTTCATTATTTAAGATAAACTCTTAAAGATTATTTATTAAGGTGTTTCAACAGAGAAGCTGCTGTCGCAATATCTCGATTGCAAGCAAAATTAATGAGCATAGCTGATGGAAAAAAGAAAAATAATCGTACTCCTTCTCCTGAGTCACTAGAAAAAGCGAAAAAATCTAGATCTAGATCAAAATCACCAATAAATCGCTCCAAAAAATCTAGATCTAAATCCCCAAGTCGAGATTCAAAGACACGTCGTTCTCGATCACCTGCATCTAGATCGAGACGATCTCGATCTAAATCAAGATCAAGGCGATCCAGATCTAGATCAAAATCCAGAAGATCCAAATCCAGATCGCAAGATCGTTCAAAATCAAGACGTACCAAATCTAAATCGCCAAGATCGCATTCGAGATCTCGTTCACGATCTAAAAAGTCACGATCAAAAAGTAATGATAGAAGTAAATCTAGAAAATCAAGATCGGACTCGAGCGATTCAAGATCATCAAAATCTCGTTCAAAATCACCTGATAAAAGAAAGGATAATCTCGATTCTAACAGAAAACGAGATGCAAGTTCAAGCAGTAGTTCCGAATCAGAAGAAGATAAAGGAACAAAAGATAAAAACGATTTCGAAATTAGAAAGAAAAAAGATGGAGTACAGGCAAAGAGATCATATAGAAAAACGAATAAAGATGACAGTGGCAGTGACAGTGATTCAAGTCGAGAAAGAAAATCTGTACCCAAACGAAGGAGTCCAACACCACGAAAAGATAGAGGTCGATCTAAGGATAGAGATAGATCGCGAGATAGATCACGTGATAGATCTCGGGATAGATCTCGGGATAGATCTCGAGATAGGAACAGAAGGTAAATAATATAAATATTTTATTATTATAGATGGTTGAACAATTTATTGATCTTAATTTTTGAATTAATTTCTTTTAGGAGATCCATAGATAGAGAACGGGAAAGAAGAAGAGAACGAGAGCGAGAAAGAGAGCGAGAAAGATTGGATAGATATAGCGGCAGTCGCAGCATGCGACCTCCATCTGTGCGTAGAGCACCTAGTAGACGGAGGTAAGATAAATTTCATTAACATCAACTATTTGTCATAAATAAATCATATTTTATATAAATAAATATCACTAATATTAATAATAATCTATAATTATAATTTTTACAGAAGCCCTCATCGTAGAAGTCCGGTAAGATATCGCCGTAGATCACCCAGTCCTGGGGATAGGCGCCGAAGAAGATCCCTTGATCGAAGACGAAGATCATCAGAAAGAAGAGACAGACGTCGATCTCCAGATCGTCGTGATAGCAGACGTCGTTCTCCAGATGGCCGGGATCGATCCCTCAGGTACGATAGATCTTCCTCTCGTGACAGATCGAGTAGGCGGGACCGTTCCAGAGACAGGGACAGAAGGGATAGAGATAGAAGATCTAGATCTAGGGATCGTAGATCCAGATCGAAAGATCAAAGGTCATCGGTGGATCGTTCGAGAGATGGAAAACGATCTCCCGATCGCTTAAGAGAAACTAAGGAGAAGATAAAGGACAAGAAGGTGGATGAAAAAATTAAAAGATCAACTGATACGGGATCGCGAAAAGAATTACGAAACGGAAGGTCTAAGTCAAGTAGCTCGGAAAGTAGCGAAAGTAGTTCCTCTAGCAATGAGGATGAAGTGACCAGGTTAGTAAACAAATTATCTCATATTTTTACGTTTTGTTACAGACCTTACGGTTGTTGTTGGAGCGTAAAGCAGCTATGTTGTATTTCCTGCTTAGCAGTGAACAAATATTCTTGTGTTCTCTAATAATATTTTTCGCTATCTATGTGCAGAAAATCTCTTGAACGGAAATCATCTCAGGAAAAGCGAGAACGTGAGAGGGAACGAGAACATGTAGATGACAAACGTAAAGAAAAGGAAAAACCTGCCAAGGAAGAATCTATCAAACGACCTGAAAAGGATATCAAGAAAACTGAACCTGTAAACATCAAGAAACCAGATCCTAGCGTTTCTCCTAAAAAACTTCAATCTGCTACACTTCCTGTAACTAGGCATAGAGTAAGTTGCATTATATTGTTTATGTATCAAACATTTTTATATAGATTTTATAACAATTATCATTTTTATATAATTTTAGTTTTCAAAGAGTTTATCACGAACACCATCTCCATTTAAAAAGACTGAAGACATTATAGCTGCAGTTAAAGTTAAACAATCGAAGTAAGTTTAAATATATGTTTTAAATATTTTTCAAAATAGATAAAAATCTTTTAATTTAAGCGTATATTATTTGTTTTTTCTTTTTTCTTTTTTTTTTTTTTTTTTTTTTTTTTTTTTTTTATTGTTTATAGAGAAGATAACAAGGAAGGATCACCAAAAGAAGAAACGAATTTTTCATCCGCAGATACTTTTCCGTTAAAAAAAGATGACAAATCAGTCAAATCACTTAAAGTGGCATCTGAGGATAAAAAGTCAGGTCAAAAATCTTCTGAGCCAATACTCTTAAAAAAACCAGCAGAAGTTATGAAGAAATCAAAGAAAGAAAAACGCGATGGTTCTACAGATTCTAATGACAGTGAAAGTGAAGGTAGAAAGATGTTAGAAGTATGTTTTTTCAATATATCATGTTCAATAATATTTTTTTTATTATAGGAAAGAAAAGACCAAGAAAATTAGAGAAATCTAGGAAATCCAGAAAAACTTCTACAGATGAAGAAAAATCAGAAAAATGTGGTTCTAGTTCGGATTCTGAAGAGGAAAGAAAGCATACAGAAAAGAATAAAAAACTTAAAGACACAAATCGAGGAGGTAAATTTTAATTATATCAATTTGATAATACTTATTATAATTTTTAATATTTTGATAATGTTCACAGACTCGTTAGATGAACGTGCAAAAGACAGAAAAGATAGTAGAAAACGAGAAATCAATGAAAACGAATCTCGCAAACGCTCAAAAAAAGAATTAGAAGAAGAAACAAAAAAATCAAAAAGATCAAGAAAAGATTCTTCTTCAGGAGATGAAGATCAAAAGATAAAAAGAAACAAAACTGAAGATGATAGATCCAGATTACGAAAGTCTAAAAAAGATTCAAGTTCAGATGATGAACCGAAAAAAACACGAAAACGAAGAGACAGTTCTTCGGAGGATGAAAAATCAAGAACAAGAAAATCAAGAAAAGATTCTACAAGTGAAGATGAAGGAAAAGTGCGATTAAAGAAATCTAAACGAGATTCAAGTACAGATGATGAAGAAATAGGAGAAAAAGATGCAAAAAAAAAGAGAAAAGCTGATGATAGTTCAGATGAAGAAAAAGTGAAGAAAAAACGTAAAAAGAAAACTAAAACAAGTACCAGTGAATCAGAGGTAATTATTTATTTTATTTCATTAATTTAATTTATGGAAATTATAAATTTCTATTTCTTATTTGTAATTTGTATTATAGGAAAGTGAGGTAGAAGAAAAGAAAAAGAAAAAGGATAAGAAACACAAAAAACATAAAAAACATAAAAAGCATAGGAAACATAAAAAGAAGAAGGTTGCAGATTCTGACGAATCTGATGTAAGTGAAGGTAATACAGAAGAACTTGAAAAAAAACTTCGTGAAAAAGCATTAAAATCCATGAAAAAGGGACATAGTATAGAAGGAAGTGATTGAGGTTTAAAAATTAACGAGGGTGTGTAACGTGTGTACCTCTGTATTACAATGCACTTGCTCTAATTATATCACGAATACGTTTCTGTTTATTATTATCGATAAATAGGATTTTATCGTACCACATATTTTTTGTGTAAAACAAGTCTGATGTTATAAAACAGATTCAACTAGATGAAGAAATCTAATTTTTATGACTCTAAATATTAAGATTATGAAGTTAAATACAATAGTTGGTTTTTTTTTTTTTTTTTTTTTTTTTTTTTTTTTTTTTTTTTTTTTTTTTTTTTTTTGAATTAACAGAAAAAAGTAGTATGTTGCTACCATAGGAACAGTAATTTTTTGTGCCACTTCAATGTATAATTTTTACATTTTTCAAAGTTGATACAATGAGCAAAAGTATAGTATCCTTTTATAGTTTATAAGTTTACTAATTAATATTTTTTTATAGCATGATAAAAATAACTTGTAAATTTAATTTGTGTAAAAATAATTTTTCATTGAATTATCTTATAATTATATCAAAAGAATGAATTGCAGCTTAAAGATAAATACGTATCTCGTAACAAATCACTACACCCTCTTGTTGCGATATTCATTCACATAAATTATATAATGAACTTTAATCTACATTGCTGTAAATTTATTTAGATCTACAAATTACTACTGGATTTATACGTGATGTGACTTTCACGTATGCTGTAGTATCAAAAAAATACATGATTTTCAAAAAAAAGCGTATTTTGTATTTTACATAATATATAAATAATCATCACATATTCTTATGTGTTCTACATAATAAAGAACATTTAATAAATCTGTTCATATTATAAACGTATTTATAATTTGGCCAACATTGATTCCCAATCAGGAGAACATATAAGCGTACTATTTACTGGTCCTAAATTAATTAAATCGCCGTTTAAATTTTCGGTATCCACTTTTGTTGCAATGAGATCCTGTAATATAAGTTAATATTATAATATATAATATCGTTTCATTTTATATTTTCGATGAATTTTAAATACTTACTTGTCGAAAACTAAGATGTGATCCTACATCAACGATTAAATTATTTTCTCCCAATAATAAACGTGCTTTACCCGATTTTAGAATTTGTAATTTGCCTAAAATACCAGGTTTTAAACTATTTAAAGTACAAAATTCCGTTTCCGATTTATTTTCATCCTCTTTTTCGTAATTTGAACGATTTGGTTTAGTGTCTTCTGCACTGCTTACTAAACCTGGCAAACAGTCTGGAAACTGTTTTATCGCTGTAGTTTATCGCTTAATCTATTATCAGATGTAAAATTGAATGTACATTATATAAATCTTTAATATAAATTCTTACCTGCATTAAGATATAAGAATGAATTTTATTATTAATAATTTTGGGAATGCTATCTAAAAATTCGTCTTTTATATCTTTATCAGATTTGGATATTTTACATTTAGATTCCTTCTTTGGTGATAATACTGAAAATAACATTAATTATTATAAAACATTTATAAAGATGAAAAAAAAATACTTACCCTCTCCATTTTCTAAAATAATCGGTTTTCTGTCTACTTCTTCTTCTATTACTTCTTTTTTAATTTTTATTTCTTCTTTACATGGTTTTGCTGTTATAAATAAAAATCAATGAAATATATTTTTTATGAAATTAAATATTAATATTTCAATGAATAATAAAAACCTTCTTTTATCATTGGTAATACAACAGGAGCATTACTAAGATTTATAGGTTCTCCATCATCAATAAAATCGTCTCTAAGTAGTAACTTTATCTTTTCTTCTTCCTCAGCTTTATTAAAACTACGATTCAAATCTAATTTTGGTTTTTCAAGATATACTTGAGAACTTCTATCGCTATCTCTAGATCCACTACTATAACGTTTGCCTGCAGTACTTGTTATTCCAGTAGACCAGATACCACTAGACTATAACATATTATATATAAAATTTTATAAAATAATACTTCTTAGGAGAATGTTTTTAATATACTTGAATTAAATTGCTAGATCCTCTTCCGCGTCCTCTATCAGATCCTCTATCAGTATTCCCTCTACCTCGTCCCTTAATGTAATCTTTACTTCTACTTGATTTTGGAGCATCATTTTGTACTGCATCTCTGTAAAAAATAAGTATCATTTTATTAATTACAAACTAAATCATTATCAATATTTATATCGTTATATACCCTTATTAAGTTAACTTACTCCTTTTTCTTTGTTCTCTGAACATTCAAATTTGGTGTATATACTTTCTTGGGTTTCTCAGTCTTAATATTACCTCCCAAAGTTAAATCTCTTGGTAAACGAAAAGAAGTTAATCTAGTTGTACTTGATAAGCCAGGTTCTGTTTTAATATTTTTTATAGGTACAGGCATTGATGTTCCAGGTTCTACCTTTATTTTAACATTTAATGGAAGTGAATTACTTGTATTTCCAGATTTATCAGAAGCCATTCTTAATTGTTATGATTCAGTTGACAATTAAAATATATTTTTGTTATCTACAAAAAAATAATTTTAACATATTTTTAAAAAATCCACATGTTATAAAATATATCATGTTATACATAAATCGATTAATTTTGACGTGTAAAACATAAAAATATAAATTTATTCTATTAAAATCAGTTTTTATTGGAAAAAAAAAAACAATAGAAAAATTGTAGAATAATTTTCGTTTTCTATGCATTAAAATCATATGTAACACATATTATATTTCATGAAACATAGTTGTTTCTAGGATTATATTGTAATTTAAATACATACATTCTCACTGCAGGGATGTCCATAGAGAGTTTTATTATAACAATATTTTAGCACAGTACATCACATAACCTCTAAAATACACAAAAGTTACAAATTTTTGAATAATAAAATGGTTTTTATCAAGATATATATACATATATATCAATAAAGAAATCTGGCATTATATAATGAAGAATTTCATTAAACATATTTTACAATGTAGTTCATAATTTTTTTGAATCTATGAAAAGTAAATACGTTATACTACATACTGCGAATACATCGCACGTGTTTTGCTATACTACTCCATTTTGATTTGTTTATATTGTTTAAAATACATATTATTTCTCCATATAATTTTAGTTGAATGAATATGATTATAAGATAGAAAAATAAAAATATGTTAATATAATTAAAAACGAAATTAATTTATTACGAATTCGTATTATTCGTATTATTATCTATAATTATGTACATCCATTTATCCGTGTCCTGCTTCTTATACTTTTATTGAAAGTTAAATTTTTCTTTATAATATAATAATATAATATAATAATATAATAACGCAGAAATAATAATTTTATATTAAATAAAATTTTATTTCTTATATTTTTTATATTATTTGAAAACTAAAATTTTGATATATTTGTATTTCATTTCAATGAATCGCGGAATGCAAGTGCATCAGAAAAGGCGGGCATTTTTAAAATCATCATAAGACATTTGAAAGTAAGCGCGATTTAATTCTGGCATCCTAGAATCACATCAGGATATTTCAGATAAGCGATAACGCGAACAGTAACCTCCTGGAAACGATGGAGGTTACGATGTTTTCAGGATGACTAGTACTAGTGACATGAACAGACTCCGTGTGATGAGGTCATCGTATAGTTTTTTAGCCGCGCCGGCAGTCGCGACGCGGAGCGCCCGAACGCCGGCTGCTACGTATAATCCTGCGGTAGGGACATGCTTGCCATGTGCCTATTCACGACATATCGTTTCTCCGATCGCGAGTGCAACGTGTCCTCCTTCATCCTCGGTGTCACGAAACTGTCTTTCAAACGCGAACACGTTTATTTTCCTCTTAATTCGTCGATTTACTGGCTCTACGGTTGATTACTTTTCAGTGAGTTTCGAGTCTATGATTATGAGTGCCTGATTTCAAATATGTAATTTCTATCGGTTAGACAGATGACCGATTTAAAAAGCTACCAGTTAGCTACGGTTCTTAAACCTGTTTCTCTTCCCCTTAGACATGGTACATGTCGAGTTTTCGAGTAGTCTGCTTTCTTGATATCTATTTATACTTTTTCCGATCGAATCTTTTTAGTATTTGATCAGATAAAAATTTATCCACTAGATAATATATTTATCTTAATATACAATCAAATGTTATACGATCAAAACATGTCTATACATAAAATTTTTAAAACTTGAGATTATTTTCAGTTGACATTCTATGTCAATACGTCTCACAAATTTGAACACTTTTTACTTTTATCTTTCGTAAATATTCAAAACTTTTTGTGTACCGCGAGAAGATGAAGAGGGCGGTGCTTCCAAGGATACCACGTGTGTTGTAGGGTATGCGGACGAACAAAATATTGCGGCGCAGGCGCGAACTACAGTACTGAAGTCGGCGAGTTTCAAATGTCTTATCGCAGATTGCAAAGCGTGGTTCTCCATGAAACGGTGCGCGTTATATCCACGAAAGCGTTAATATTAATTCTCGCGTATTGTTGGCGGAATGCTACACAGAGTGTCAAAGATTCAAGATTGTTCACGAGAATCGATAACCATTATATCGATTAGATCGTACACTCGATAGTATAAGTATGAAATGAGATTTTAATATCGATAAATCGAATAAAGCGAATATCTTTATTATTATTTTGTGACATTTATCCACATATTATTTCGTTTCAATTTCATTGTATTTAAATGTTTATTTAAAATTATAAATAATCAGTTTTTTTTAAAAACAGTCTGTGTTGCATTTCGCAAGCAATGTTTCCTTCGTTGGCATAACATTAATACGATTGATTCCTCGATTGTCGTTAATCGCGTGATTTTTCGTTGTCCTTCGCTCGAAGTGCAAAAAACAGTGCGTGTACCCTCACTCGAATTTTTGCGTGTTTCGAAAGACACTCAAATGTCTTTCAGTTATCGCGCGCACGTGTACGAGGATGCGTCGAGGCGACTCCTAGTTCCTTCGAGTTTAAATTTTTAACTCGCTTTCGCGCGTGCTGTTGTGCCAACGCTGTGAACTTTTGCCGCGGCGAGAACTGGTGTTTTATTGAATGTTGTTTCGAGTATTCTGATATCAAGGATTATCGTGGGATCGTCGACAACGAGAGGAAGTGATTCGGACCGGAAAACCGACCGTGTCTAGAAAATGAACGGCGTGCAACGAATGCCCAGCGACGCGTTCGACGCCAAGGTAAGTTTATTTATTTATTCAAACGTCTGGCGAATTAGCATTTTTCAAACATTGTTCGCGTAGTAGATTTATGCAAATGTCCATTTAACACTCTGCGACATTCCTCAATAATTAAATATTGTTACAAATCAATTTGAGTAATGTTGTACTGTCATACAATATGGATATAGCCAGTTTTGCGTAGAGAAACACGACGATCTGTGACCGAAGTATTTTACAAAAAAATAAAATGCAAAAATTACGCCGCGATCTGCTCCAAATGCGTCTCGATTTACGAGGTTATCGTCGGTCGATGGAACAAACCAAAGCGGCGAAGGTTATTTAAAAAGCATCGTTTAACATGTGTATACGTAATCGAGTCGACCTTGGCCCGCGTAACCCAGTATATACGATGCCCTTGTATGGGGTCGTTACATCTCGAAAGAACATACGATCGTACTCAATTTCTATGGTTGTTTAGACATTGTTTCCGCCTGTTTCTGATCTCACGTTGAATATATTTTTTTCTTCATTTCTTCTCAATTGAATTGACAAGCATTTTTTTTTCCAACGTAAATCAGTATCAACTAAATCATCCAACCACACATCGATCGTCAATTTTCGATTTTAATATCTTTCTTTCATAATTCGTTTTAATTTTTTTTTTTTTTTCTACGTGACAAAGATAAGAAATTGATCGTCGTCAAACTCTTGGTCCCATTCGAGGAAACGGAATGTCCTCGGGAATGGTTACTAAGAGGACATCGATCGCGTCTAGATTTATACCGTGCAACCTCGCGTGTAATTTTTTTCTCACGGAATAGTTGGTGGAAACGCAATGTTTCCCCACGGGCATATTGCATATCGCGTTTTCGAATATTTTTATCGAAATAATTCGTAAATCTTCGCAAGATCAAAATCAGCAAGCAAAATTGGATGCGTACGATGCGATATAAATTTTAGGAAAAAGAAAGAAAGAAAAAAGAATCACATTCAAATGAATATTTGTCGTGAAATAATTCATTATCAGAAACAGAAGAGGGACAAGCGCAGATAGAGATCACTAATGAAAAAATTGGATGGGTAGAAGAGAAAGAGAAAAAAATTGAAAGTAGGGAGACGACAAAGGAAATACGTATAGGCTGGTCTCTCCTCGCCACAAATACGAGCGGTGTTCACCCACTTTCCTGTCTGCCAAGGTGGCCACCGAGAGAGCATTACCATTCGGTAAGGGGCACGGTAGTATGCGTATACGTGCGCGTCGAACATAACGTGCAATTAGGTGTCTTAACGCCGAGGCCGGTGTACCGAGGTAACGCGATACCTATACCCGGCCTATGGCAACGCGACTCCATCGAGTCTGATTCGAGTTCTGGCCGACACGCTAGCGTCGATTTCAACCCTCCAGGCTTGTGTCTCGTTGTATTTACAATACTCTCCTTTTCTAGACCTTTGGATTTTCACTCGCTCGAAGATCGAAAAGTTTCAGGTTCGGATTTTACAAGATTTCAATGCATTTGGGATTTGTATCCATGCAACGGACAATTAAATTCATCTATCTGCCTTTGCTTCTTGAATAGATTTGTTTTAGCAAACGAACGAATCCCCCCTCGTGGACGGGACTCGTTTGCAACGAGAGAAAAATAGTGTCACGAAGAGAGCGCATTTGCTCCGAGAGAGATCTCCGAAATGTTGTTTACGCAGGCCAGTTGGACGATAACATTATCCCTAGAGAGGAAGTTGGTGTAACCGATATAAATAGCGTTGACGAATGCCGTGCAATCTCGTAACGCGATCGCCTCGCGATTTCTTGCGCTTTTTGCTCTTCGTTTCTCCAGCCGAATAATAAGCGGCTCTCGAGCCCCTCGATCCATTAGATCGGTTCGGCCAGAGGAGATAGATCCCCGTTGTCCCATCGCCACCACGAACGTTAGGTTGAAATCGGTACGGACGCGTCAGCGTTGCGCAACCGAGCTTTATCTACGTGGACGGGAATCGGGTGAAAAAAGTTGACTCATTCGTCGAAAACCCTCCAAGAGGATCGCGCAATCTTTCTAAAGAGTTCTTCTTAAAAGATAAAGCTAATATTTTGCCGCGAATCGTCGAGACTTCAAAATTATAGCGTTTCCAGTTCGCAAACCGTGTGGTGACGCGTGTTTCGGGGAAAAATTTGTTTTTCCTCGTAGTCGACAAAATTGAAACGGAACGACACACGTGACGTGATTTGCTCGTCAGTCGATTTCGCAACGGTTTGCTCGTTTTCCCGTCACGACATCTCGCCCGATGCTCGTTCACCGAGCGTGGCGACCGAGCCGTCTAATTAAACGGGTACACACCGAACGATTCCGTTTCGATATTTCGCATAGACATCTCTTACCGCAAGGTCTCGCGTTATTAAGATGCAATAAACCAGTCGCGCGTGCTGCGGTGCCACGCTCGAAGGCTGCTCTATCTCGAAAGCCCGAGTGAAAGCAACCCATTCGCTCCTACTCCTTTTTTCTTTTTTTCTTTTTCCTTTTTCCCGTTTCTTTTTCCATTCGAACTTTGAGTTTCGCGTTCACCCACGAGACTTTCACGTGGCCGAGGCTTCGGTGCTTGCGCCCAACCACCGCTTACGTGATCGAAATCGAAAATCTCCTCTGCTCTCGGTATCTCGAGGCACCGCGATTCGTCGCGGCTCTCGATTTCCGTGCCCGGCCCGTGTTTAGCTTAATCGCCGTGTCCCTCGTTAAAAAAGAAAAAAAAAAAAAAAAGAAGAAAGAAAAGAAGGAGAAAAATGAAAAAAAGGAAAAAGAGCAGACTTATTGTTGCAGACTTACGAAATTGCAGCGCGATAAAACTCACGATCGATCATCGGTTTCCCTCGAATGGGAGGCCTCTATTAATCTTATTTCGCAAACGGCAGCCGCAAATCGCGAGATATACGGCGTATTTAAGAGAACGGCTCATTTGCCGCAATTAGGTCAATTATTATCATTTGGTGGAACGAGTCGTAAACCGGCGCGAGTTTCTCGCTACGCGCGAGCCGGTAACATTAGGAAACACGAGGTACGACGATTTCTTCGCCCGCGCGCCGTTTCCCCCTCCCCCCCTCCCCCCTCCTCCCTTTTTTACACGATTCATCACGCTCTCGATTATCCGCGTTCTTAATCCGCGTTGTATCGAATCTTAACTCGGTTCCGTGACGCGGCGCGAAAAGAAATCGGTTGCTCGCGAACCGCGAATGATGCATCGCGACCAAGTTCCGCGGTATTGCGACCTCATAACTTCCGCTGCGCGCGCCAGCGAAAGTAGGATAACTCGCGAACGTGAACCGCGTCGTCACGTGTAGTAATTTCTCCCCTCCTCCCCCTCCTCCTCTCTCCGCTCTTTAACGCTCTTTTTGCTCTTCGCTATGAAAAGAGAACGAAATGGAAGAAACACGTATGGTAAGAGGGACGCGCGTCGAATTAGTATCGTTCGGATAATTCTCCGACGATATCTGTAATTCAACCGGTCGAACGAGAAAGAGTATATATATATATATATAAGAGTGGCCTCGGGTATCCAGATTATCCAAAAGCTGGATTGAATGGCAACGAACAAGTTGTCTAACGAAAAAAAAAAAAAGAACGAGCGGCAAGCAAGGTTTACGATCGTAGCTACGCTACGTCTTTCCATTCTCGGAGGCGAATTCTTGATTGAATTACGTGTGCCGCGCGTAAATCTGATTCAGTTTCGAAAGATGTGATCTTAAGCGGGATAGAAGGAGACAGATGGAAGATAGGAACGAGGGAGGGAAGGAAGGGAAATAACGAACGTCTCGTGGAAAGCAAGGGAGAATCGTGCCAATGTTGCGCGTCGTGTTTTCATTTACGGTTAAACGGGTTCTCGAACGACGAACATGGTTACCGCCATAGAATCATCGAGTACGGAACGATGGTCTGGATCGAGCCGATCAAACTATACACGGGGGACACGCGATCCCATTTGCCTTTCGAAACGCTCGCCCCGTCAATTATTTCACGTCGACAGGAATCTGCCGGGCCGAGCCTCGATATCAATTATCAGTTACACGCGTGACACGCGTAATTGCGTTTCCTTCTTCTCTTTCTTTTCTTTTTCTTTTTTCTCTCTCTCTTTCTCTATCTTTTTCTTTTTCTCTCTCTCTCTCTCTCTCTTTCTCCCGTTCACGATTTATGTCTTCATCCGTTCGATGGCAACGCTTCATCATCGCGATCGCATCGACATTTGTACGACAAATAGGACGAGAGAGAGAGAGAGAGAGAGAGAGAGAGAGATACGGAGAGGGGTTTCGCAAGTGGATCGAGTAGCGTATCTGTCTTTTCTCTTTTCTTCTTCTTCGTCGTGTTGCAAATTAGCACCTCGAGCGAACCGTAGATCGTGTTTTGTCGTCACCCATCCGGACAATCGCTTCTAGAATTCTAAGAGATGATAATAGAACGTAGAACAAGTATATAAGTGTTCACGTATCATAATTTATTGGAAGCAAAATCGGTTCGGAAATCGGGAAAGGGAGAGATCGACTTCTGTCTTGGATTGTTAGATCTCCTCGGATGATTACACGTGTACCTGTTATCGAACAGATTTCAATTAACGAAGACCGACGATCGGGCGAAGTAATTGCCAAGTAATAAAACAAGCTCGGCTCTTCTGTCTTCAAATAGGTAGAGTCGATCTTTTTATCCCGACTGGAATGAGCGTAGTTTCACGGCGAGTTAAATGGTTTCGCTTGTTAATTTTCCATAAACGTTGAGCGAGTGTCGCCGTCGCGATGAAATTTGCAGGGTGAAGATGAAAGAGAACCGTTTACGGACCGTTTATCAGTGTGGAACGGTGTCGAAGGAAGGAGAGAAATATTTTTTTATTTTTTTCTTTCTTTCTTTCTTTCTTTTTTTTTTTTTCTTTTTTTTTTTCTTTTTTTTTTTGTCGAACAGAATCCATAAATAAATATCGCGGAAAGTG